TATATGGGGTTTGTTAGAGAAAGAACTGTATTTTAATTGAAAATTCTTAAAAATAAATAAATAAACATAAGTGGCGCACAATATCACTTTGAAATGGCGTGCTATAAATATGATCGATACTGTATATACCAGTAAAAGTCACACTCATATCAGTGCAGCCGCTTCGAAAATTTACGCGAAAAAACACTGAAGAATATAGCTATAAATGACTGTTTAAAATTTTATTTATTTTGAGCTTTATTTAAAATTCACAGAGAGATACTTACTTCATAAAATTACCAAATTTTTAATCTTAATCTTTTATATAATTTCCATTGCTGCAGCGTGAGTTTTTGCATCGCTTATGATTGCACCTTTAGCAAAAGCTTTAAAATGTAAGTATCAATATTGTTCAGTTGGTTCAGCTGAGTATGCTCAACGCCATAACCTCCGTAGAAATCGCTAAAGTATACTGAAGGGAATAGATTGGCCGCTACGGTTGCACTGCCTTGCTGCTCACACTCCGCTAAGCTCATCAGCCAATGTTGTGGCGGTTTAGGCAGCGCTTTTGGCGAGGGTGCTCTAATGCGTGATCTTTTGTTTTTAGCCAAATCCGTGGAGGCACTGGGTGTGCTATTTTCCCTTATATTTTCGTTGTCATTGCAATACGCCATATCTAGTGGATCATTTGAAATGGCAGTTGATGTCTCAAAAATTTGCTTTTGCTGCTGGTGGGCTGCAAAGTAAACGCTTTCACTGCTATCACTGTCAATGTTGCTGCTAAGCTGTCGCTGTTGAACGTACTGCAGCCATCTCCATTGCTGTTGCCGTACATGAGGCGATCGCTGACTGTTACGCTTCTTAATGCTACTACCACCATAACGGTCGCTATAGTACGCATGGAAAAAACAACAATCACTTTCGCTGCTAACTGAAAGTGAATAACTTCGTGGGCGTTGTATTAGCTCCCTTCGTTGCTGAATGAAGTAATTTTCGCTTTCGCTGCTGCTGCTGCTGCTGGTAGAGCCCAAAGAGGAGTCGCCATAATATGATGAGGTTGAAGCAGTCGATGAGATGGACGTTGTAGAGCTGGATATTTGCTGTCCTTCGCTGTAGTATTGATAACTACGAGTACTACAGGTCGAAATACATTTGTATTGTCTCAACCTGGAATTACTCTTTCGATCGGTGCCATTATATGTGGAACTACGTAAGCGAAATGTGGTTGCCGTTGCCGTGGCTTGCATGACGATATTAAATATTTCTATGGCGTTTACGAGAATAATGCTTAGTTACCTCTTCAAATAAAACTTTGATAGCGTTTGCTCTCTACTCGATCCTTTCCTTAACGATTGCAAGCTGCTTTTGTTCGCTTTTGACTTGAGGCTGTTTGCTTAAGTACTAAAACGGCGCCGAGTTCCTGTGAAATTGTTGCCGGCGTAGTTACTAGATATTTTTACCTGTTTCAGGCTGTAGAGTTAGTCTTTATATCTCTGTCCTTTCTGCTTGAAGCTTATAATCCTGCTATTTGTTACTTTGATTTGCTGGCGTCTTTCTTTTTATTTGGGTCGCTTGTTATCCTTATATTTCTCCAAAAAAACTCATAAGTACATATACATACATACATGGATACGTAATATGTTTTCATAATGCAAAGTACCTTAACTTCAAGGAAATGACTGACCTGCCTACCAACCTTGGAATGCGTGCTCACTAATGTAAGCGACGTACTTAAAAGAAACGCCCAGGGAAATAATGTTTCATTTGGGTTCTCTCCTAAGAATAACAAGAATATCCTCATTAAATTTTCCACTGATAAATGTTTAGAGTATTTTTCTATAGGTACCTATGTGTAATACTTATGTATGTATGTATTTGCACACATGTGTATTTATTAACAAAACAGGTAGTTAGAGCTATCTTAAGTAAACGGAAAGTTTTTAGAAGCAACTCCGTATTCACTACAAGGAACTTGCGGTTCAAGATGATACATGATTTTTTGATAATATAAAAACAAGGACACAATTGTGTGGTTATTCAAAAATAGGCCATAATTTAAAGCCTTAAATTTTTGGCAACCTAAAACTGTTAAATTTTTCTTTAATTTAGGAACTGAGCGTAAAGTGGTGTTCATATAAAAGCTAAACATAATTTTTTGACAATTAAAAAATTGAACATAAATTTTTGATAATTTTAAAAATAAACACAGATCGGTCTCGGTCTTTTATAAATCGGATATAATTTTTTGGCGATAAATTTTTTGTTAATTGAAAAATATTTTTATATATGGAGTTTTTATGCCGCTAGTTTTTTTCGATTACATACCATTTGAATCGACCTAGAAACATTCTAATAAATTTTGTTTTATGTTTATAAAGGAAAACAAATAAATAAATTATATACATATGTATGTATGTATCGGGAATGTTGCGAATATTTGCATTCGCATTCGTTATGCGAATGATTCACATCATTTTTCACATTCGTATTCGACATTCGGATTCGCATCAAATGATACCAATGTTTTGCGAATGCGAATCTGTACATGGGCAGAGAATCCACTTTAATTTTATTGAAATGTCTCTTAGCCTGTTTAACCAGGGTGCGGACAATAACCGGCTTTTAACTTCAGGCGCTAAATGGCTAAGTAGTATATCGAGCAATATTGATTGGCCTTCAACAAGTACTGTTAAAAGTTTTATAAGCAACCTAGAACTAATTTTAGATTCCTCCCAATGAAAGCGAAGGCTCGGATGTAGAATCTGGAGACATTAAAAAATGAGAAATTAAAGCTCAATTGAACGCCTATCTCGGTGAAAATCCTCCCGATTGGTAAAAACTAAACTAAAATACGACATATTGACAGATCTCATATAAAGTCATTTGTAACAACCAAGAATACCATTGTGTTATTTAGAGTATTCAAAATATTGTATGTATTTAAATTTGGATATAATTTAACATCCAGATTTCGATGAATATTGAGAAAAGCTAGCCCATTGTGTGCTTGTTCTGTGCCCATGCCTGCATTCAGTGGGAAGTTTAATATATTTTAATGGCATTGATGTAGTTTTGCCCCCAGATGTCAAATGTGGCTAACCTATTTTTAAACCTCCCCAACTTTTAAAGTTATTAAGTTATTTCAATTATCTATGAATTTAGAAGACAAATTTAAGCCAAGTAAATTTAGATCAATTTGTTATGAAGGAAAAAAAAGTGTAGTAGTGAACTTTTGATGCAGTTTACTTCTATTTGACACGTAGAACATGGATCCACAGTCTCGCCCCTAATTTTCATACCGGAACATCTCGCCATCTTGGATTTTAGGTTATTTTTGGCTTTTGCGATTTGTAAGCTTATTTTGCATTTTCGTATAAAAAGGTTGTACACGAATTTGTAGGGAATTTAATTTCCCTAATTTTGCGTAGCATATTCAAATGCCAAAGTTGTAGGGAACTTTTCTCTTTTAGTGTTGGGTTCTCAGGTGGCACAAAATTTGTAATTTACGGTTAGTTTAGATATTTGAGACGCCATGTTGAATTTTTCAAAAGGCCTCACGGCGTTTTCACCAAAAACTTCAATAACTTTAAAAGATGGAGAGGTTTAAAAATATTGTAGCTATTTTTGATATCGGGGGACAAAACTCCATCTAGTGCTATTAAAATTTTTAAATTTCCCACTGACTTATAGACAAAATATCGACCGCTTTGTGAAAAATTCCATGAATTTGCTGAACTTTAGGGCCTTTGAGGCACGTCCTTTCGTTATCCGATTTTAAAAAGTTTTCGCAGGTGATGTTTGTATGACCAAATGAACCTTTCTGGGGGGACAAAGTTGCAAAATAAGTCTACCACACATGTATGATGATATTCATTGAATTATTTTGCAAAACTATAATTACCACATTAGGAAAAATTTCTGTAGAAAAAACTGAATTATAAATTTTATCTAATATAATATAAAAAAAAAATTGGTATGGCAAATGTTAAAGCTGCTTTTGAGAGATTTTTCTTGTGCTGATTACGAATCCGTAAGCATAAAGTTTCCATCAGCTACAGATTTTGAATAAAAACGAGGTCGAAGTGCCCAAAAATCGCGGGTTTGGAAATATTTTAGAAGCTCTAGCAAAGAAACAAAAGGTGATAGAACCTTCCTGGCTTAAATTAAAGCTAGATCTCTCGATTACTATCTCAGAAAAGAGATCTTAAATATTTGAGATCTTAAAATATTTTTTTACCATTATTATCTTAAACTAAATGATGAACAATTTTTATGCATATTTCCATCCACAGGGGGGTTTTAACCGCCAAAACCTTGCGGCCGGTCTTGATTAAGGGAAGCTTAAAGCTGGGCATACTGAACATGCCGGGTTGGAAATAAATTTATGGTAATTTAAAAAGTGGACATAAAATTTGGTAATTGAAAACTTGATATTTTTTTTTTGGGCTAAATAAGATCTGCTTATGAACTTTTTGGTATTTTTAGAACTGAACATAAAGTCATGGCCATTTAAAAATTGTATATAATTTCTCATAAACTAAAAATTGGATAAAAACTGGGCATAATAAACACGACGCTTTGTTAATTCAAAACTGGACAAAAACTTTGGTAATTGAAAATGGGACATATTTTCTTGACCAATGAAGACTTTGAAATATTTTTTTGTATTTTTAAAAATTAACATAAATTACTGGATCTTTAAAAATTGGTAATAATTAACCATAATTTAAAAACCGGACATACATTTTTGGCCATATAAAAAATCGACATACAAGATTGTTTGGTTATTCAAAAACTGCACATATTTTTTTTGTAATTTAAAAACTGGACGTACGCTTGGGCAGCTTAAAAATTGGGTACAATTGAATGCTTTTGGAAATCAAGACATAAATTTATCTTTCTTTTGTTGATTCTTCCGAAAGGGTGAGAAGATAATGTTTTTTGGAACAACAGATATTCATTCCAAAATACATAAATTTATAGCAATTGAAAAACTGGACATAATTTTTCTACTTTTCAAGATTTTAAAAAATTTTTTATTAACCGACTTCTAAAAAAGGAGGAGGTTATCAGTTCGTCGGAATATTTTTTATTTTTTATTTTATTATTATTTTTATACCCGAGCGCACTTGTGCACAAGGGTATTATAACTTTGTTCACATAACGGTTGTTTGTAACAGGCAAAATGAATCGAGATAGATATAGACAAATTTATACATAAATGATCAGAATGAAAAGAGAAATCGATTAAGCGGTGACTGTCTGTCCGTCCGTCCTTCCGTCCGTCCGTCTGTGCACACGATAACTCGAGATATCTTAACGAAACTTGGTCTGTGCACTTCTTTCGGGCGTAGGACGGATGGTATTGAAAATGGGCAAAATCGGACAATAACCACGCCTACCTCCCATATAACGGTAATTTTCAGAAATACGAAAACTGCGATATTTTAGTAACTACTGAAGATTATTCACTCAAAATTAATACTTACAATAATTTTTAGACGAAAAATAAGAATATTACAAATTTTTAGAAAATGGGCGTAGCCACGCCCACTTATGGATACATGTGTATATCTTGGTAGCCGCTGCACCAATTTCTTCCAAACTTGGCACAGTTGTTAGTCTTGCTACAGCATACCAAATGGCCGAAACTTTTGAAAATCGGACAATAACCACGCCTACCTCCCATATAACGGTAATTTGGAGAAATACGAAATCTTCGATAAATCAATAAATATTAAAGCTAATTTACTCAAAATTGATGCTTGCAACAATTCTTTACCAAGAAATACGTTTATGATAAAATTTATATGTATCTCGGTAACCGTTATACCAATTTGTACCAAACTCGGTATGATTATTGTGCTTGCCACATAGAAGTAAAACGTTGAAAATTGTTGGAATCGGATTCAAATTACGACCACTTTTCATATAACGGCAAATTTCAGAAATGCTTGAAACTTCAATATTTCGAAATTTAAGGACGCTAATTTACTCAAAATTGATACGCACCGGCTTGCGGTAACTTTCGGAAAGGTGAAAATCATATACTTAGTACCTGCGCCGGGTATTTAATGTTCGGCTCTGGCCGAACTTAGACTTTCTTACTTGTTTTTTTTATGTATGTTACCGCATAAATTTGGACCACGTCAATCGATTTCGATAATTATTTTTGCATCGGAAAGATAGTGTCTCAGAGGTGGTCCCATACTAATTAAGATCCGATCAGTGGATCATGAGATATATA